TTAGTGTTTTGAAATTTGCAACCAAAATCTCATTATTCCTGATCTCCATATGTAGTACAACATCAAATCTAGTTGAGCAAAGAACCTTCATTAATCAGATATTTCCCAATCTTCACCTCCTTAACCATTACTATATTAGAAGTTAACAATAAATCTGAAATAGTATTGTTCCTAACAGTTTCCCTGACTAATTACTGAAACAAACCAGTCTGACAACCTGTCTCCCTCTTGGTTTGACCAATATTTCCCAATCTATATGGCTGAAATTAAAATTATCCATAATTAACAGCTGAAACCTTAATCTCACAGTAAGGTTTGTCATTTATTTCATCAGTTTTATCTGATGGTCCTTAACACATTCCAACTAAAAACCTTCTCTCCCTATATTCACTAAAAGAAACTCAAGTAAATTCAAACTCCTTGCTAGTATCTTTAACATCCTCAACTTCAACAGGATGTAACACATTTCACATATAAAGTCACCATCTGCTCTTTCTTATTATTCTATCCTTATTAAACAAATCATAACAAATCTTTTTTTTTTATCTAACCAATTGATTCCCATAACATCAAAATCCTCCATTCTGACTAGTGTTCTAAAGTCATCCATTTCTTTTACTTCTAGCATTACAATAGTAACAATTTATCCTACACTTGAAATTATTTTTGTACTTTGTTACTACAGAACACTTTTCTCTATATATTTTTCTGCATTTAGTTTATCCTATCTCTCATCAACAGAGCAGGATAACTAACTCAATTAATTAATATAATCAATTACCCCTGAACATCAATTACACTGATTAGAGCCAGGTAAAATAATCAACTAGTGTTTCTGTTTATTACCATTTTCAATTATTCCAACTATCCAGTAATCAAAATATTGCCATTATGCATGATTGTTAAGCACAAAGCTATACACAATGGACTGTGCTCTCACCACTGGGTATCAAAAACCAACTTTTTTTACTCATCTTGTGAGAATAAATCAGTTAGTTGAATGTAATCAATTAATTAGCTTCGCAATTTATCAATTAGCAAATTCCATTAATCACCAAAACTACTCACCACTATATAGTCATGATTTAAACTTGCCCTTACAGCTAGATTAACAGCTCTTATAAACAAGCCAACACCAATCCTATTTACTTGTAAACCATCTATTCCAAAAAGCTTCCTTTTTCCATCAAACTGATTCCATAAATCCAACAAGCCAATCTGCTCATCCTTACATTTTAACATAAATCTAACATTCAGCCCTAATAATCTCATTGCCACAATCAAGTCTTGACGATGTCCGTGGCAAAATAAAATGCCCTGTACTTATCCACTAGCACCTCAGACCTACCTTATCCTACACCATTAGTCCCGATGTGCACAATAAAAGATTAGCACCTTTTACCATTTCATTTATTCTATCAAATATGTCTTCCACCCATACTCCTGGAAAGCATAATCTGATTCTTTCTCTCTATTTATCCCAGAAATTATCCTATGTCTCACAATGGTCTAATTCCAGCTTACAATTTACATTCCTTATTAGTGGGTGAACTAGTCAACAAGAACCTTTGATATAAATTTGTAGAGAGAATTTTAATTTAATGTGATCATTCAACATTGAATAAGTCATTATGCATATTTATAATACAAACAACTTACAATAAAACTTACTTGATATTAATATTCATTTACAAGTATCAGTAATAATCTTGACATCTTACTAGTTGACAGGAAACCAAAATTCTTGAATAAAACCAGTATTTAAATTACCATTTGAAATTTTGTTTGTTCTTTGTTGTAATTCTTATTTAGTTTCTACACATAATTTATATGGTATAGGCCTCATAAGTATAAGCTATTAAACATTAGGCTGTCAAGGTAATGCCTAATATCCAAATAAAAAAAAGTTAAATATCAGCCTAAAAAAATGTAACTTTTATATTTTTGTACCTAGGCCTCTACATGTAAAAGAAAATAATTTGAACTTTCAGCAGAAAACAATATATAACTGTGCAAATTAATGTTTGTCAGAAATAATTATGCTTAAGAGCAAGTCCTGAACTATTTGCTACCTTTCTCATTCTTATACATTAACACTACAGTATTGATAATTTGTTTTAATTTGCTTAGCTTATATAATTATATATCAGGTTAGTGACATTAAGACTGCTATTGCGATAGATTGCTGCCAACCAGTTGCATCCCTGTGGTTGAAAGTTCAAAATTAGGGAAAGCACCACACTACCTGGACTGTGCACTGACAAATGTACATTTATGGGACTCTATAATTGGAAGGAGAAGAGCCTGTGTTTTGGCCAATGCTAAAAGCTTCTCTAGCATATAACCATACATTTTAGAAACAATACAAGAACTAAGGTTTTAGTACAAAAGAAGGAATAACACTAATCAATGACAAACAATTTTTTTATCAACAAAATGAGAAGCATGTCATATAATCTCATACAGTCAAACTGTTCAAGTCAATTTCAAGCAACTCGATTATAGGGGTTCTAATTGAAGTGTTCAAAATAATTAATGGAATTAATAGTACCAAAGCAGCATCTTTTTTTTCATATTTGATACTAAGATTGGTAGAAAAATGAGACAATTATAAATTTTGGCAAGGTAGAAGTTATTTTCAGTTCAAACAGTTGAACTTTTATAACAGGGCAGTTGACCTTTAGAATGGGTTGCATTCAGATGTGGTAGATGCAGTAATTTTAAAGGAGGTAGAGAAAGCTTGATAAATATTTAAATGATCAGGACTAGATTTGTTTTTGTTTTGTGTTTTTTAAGTGGATGGGACAGCCTTGATGGACAAACAGGCCCCTTGTTGTACTTAAATGTTAACTGAATAAATCACTAATTAAAACACTGTCCTAATAAGGGCCTGATCCTAGGCTACTTTGGCTGATGGTTTAAGTTTACACGGTGCTAGGCCTCAGCCTCAGGCAGATATCCCCCCATTTTGACTGTACCATCAAGCGTCCCATGAGATAGTTTCAAAGAAATAGTAAATGAGTAAAACGGAATGGTTTAAAGTCTGAATAATATTGATAAAGATGTATATAAATGACTTGTTCTACAAGTTGGAAAATCAAATGTCTTAAATGACGTCTGAGATGTGTAATAATAAACTAATAGTAACATATAACAATAAATGTAAACTCACTCACTAGTGACTGGTAGTACTGACAGCTTTCTTACTAACAAACATAGCATTTATATATACAACCAGGGAACATTTGGTATTTCAAGATTGTCCTTGAATACCCACCCTTGAGAAAAGTAAAATTTAAGCCCATCTTCTTATTTTTAAGGAAATAATTAATAATTAATTCCCCCTCTTAAACTCCTGTAACATGATAGCATCTACTACTGCTGAAGGTAACTCATTCTATAATTAATAATAACCCTTTTAGAAAAATAAAACTGTCATAGCTAAAGCCTAGTATATATTTTCCAAATCATAAAATTGTATCCTAATGTATTATCATCATCAGCATATAGCACAAAGAAATGAGGGCATCTATCCTATCAATCTCTTGGATAATCTTGTAAACTTCAATAACTTTTCTCTTATACTTATCTACTCGAGAGAAAATAAGTTGAGACCTTAACCTATCCCTATTAGATAATTGTTCTAATCCATTGAGACCTTAACCTATCCCTATTAAATAATTGTTCTAATCCCCAATCATCCTCCTCTGAACCACTTCCAGTAAATCAACATACTTTCTTACATAAGGAGACCAAAACTGTACATATTATTCTAAGTAAGGCCTAATTAATAAGTTGTACAGACATAATTTTATATTTTGACTTGTAACCAGAACATCAATAAAAAAAAGCCCTAAGTTCTATTAACTTTGCTATTCCTATTAACAACAGATCACTATGCCAATATCTTTTCTTTTATGGGCTCCCATCTATATGATGTACGTAATCCAAATACATTATATCACATTTACTATAATCAAGTCATTTTCCAAATATTTTTCAAACTAACCAACTATTCAAAGTCACTAGTAATACCTCAACATCTTCAATACACCTACAACTTTAGCATCATCAGCTACCTACTAATTTGCTAATTATGTCCTATATAATTTATACATATCATTATGTGTATGTCAGAAAAAGCAAAGGCCAAACACTGATTCCTAAGGCACTCCACTAAAAACATGGGTCTAGTTTGACTAGATTCCATTATAAATAACCTTTTGCTTTGTCATATCCAACCATTTTACAACCAACCTAGATTCCTCAACCCCTACCAATGTGATTTTCTTAATCTTAGCAAATATTATGTGTAGCATATTAACAAGTGCATCAAATCCACACCCTTTAAGTTGTCCAAACAAGAAGAACTGAAGAAGTAACATCTCCAAAAAACGGTAACACTCAATATGAGATTAGTAGGCTAAGGCAAGATTTCTCTTTTGTAAACTTATATTGACTTTCTTTTAATTTTATACCACATTTCATTTTCAGTAACGACACGTGACGTCATATTTCATCATTTAGTCCCACTACCCCAACACCAAGCCTAACAATAACAGGGACACTGTGAAAACAGCACTACTTATTATTAGTATTACTATAAGCCTAGTATCAGTTGAATTTACTGTGGTTCACAATCATACTCATAGTAAATTCAATTGATACTGGTATTGAAGATTAACTTTAACTCAGTACTAATCAGTAGCATTACTAGTAGTATACTGCTAATACTGCTATTAATACTAAATAATACTATTATTAATAGTATTACTATTACTACTAGTATACTATATATCTACAAAACTACAACCTATGCTAGTACTAGTAGTAATGCTACTAATACTAATAGTATATTACTAGTATTAATCTAATTCAAAAACCAAGGCCAAACTAGTAATAATCGAAATATATATATAATAAAATGGTAATTTAATTATTTATAAGTTTTGACCCAATAAATCCAACACACCTATAAAAGTATAATTCAAATCACTTACTAAACCACAGTTCACTCGATCTCCACCAGTTTAGGAAAACGCCAGAACTGATCCAACTGGAAAAATTATAATAACTTGTCGTTCTTTCAGAATTTTAAAGTTTGCTAACAGTAACACTGTAATTTCTCGAGTTCAACAAAACTATCTAATAATGAACCTATATTTGTTTATTTAATAATAAATAAAAATTAAAGAGGGGTAGTAGCGATTGATTATTCAGTAAAACTATTATTTTCAGACAACTTAAAAATGCAATTCCTGTTTTCCAATAAATTGAAAAATAAGCAAGGGGCAGAATTCTTTAAAGTATAGAACAAAATGTGGTTCATCTAACGTCAAAGATACACAAATCAAGTTTTAAAAAAATATTGTCTGACGAATAGAAAAACAGAAATAATTTGAACAGTTAATATAGGGAAAATTATTATTTTTAACAACGTAAGGTGGTCTTAAAATACGAAATATTCAAAGTATGAAATGTCTTTATACTACATTTGTTTCGTTATTTCCTAATAAATAGCTATGCTTGATATTTACTATCATTTTAACAATAGTGGAAAAGAAAGGACGACGTTTTTTGGATATGTTAATTATTTAATGCAGTGACAGTTGCACAGAAGACAGGAGTTAACAGGTTGGAGTAAAACTGGACTTGTAATTTTCCACATGAACGACACCTTATAAGCATGTAGGCTAAACGGTCAGTTTAGTGATCCTTTCAATTCACGACCCCCCAGTGGTAAAGCGGTATGTCTGCGGACTTAACTGCTAGAAACCGGGTTTCGATACTCGTGGTGAGCAGAGCACAGATAGCCCATTGTGTAGCGTTGTGCTTAAATACAAACAAACAATCGTTATCAGTAATAAAAAGACATGTAATGACATCTATTAGTGGATTTTTGGAATATAGGTAGCAGAGCCACTTATCACTTCAACACCAAATCCCCCCCCCCACCCACACACACACACTTGTGACGATAGATATCGATCTAACTATCGATTTTGTGCTTAACTACAAACAAAAAACTTTAATTCAGGTATAATCAGTAGTACTTTATTCTGTTTGTAGCCGTTACTAATTTACAAGTGGTAGAGTAGAGGGAAGGTAGCTCGTCAGCACCACCCACTGCCAACTCTTGAGCTACTCTAATAAAACCGTGGGATTAACCTCCACTATATAACGCCCTTGCGGCTGAAAGGGCGAGCATGTTCGAAGATAGGATTCGAACTCGCAGGTTGCGAATAGAGAATCCTAATTTTGAATTATTGACCAGAGGGAGAGTAGTCAACCATCAGCAACCACAACCTGAAAAGCTCTGACCGCTCTTTGAACCAAATAATGGTTGAAAGTGTGAAATATGCTCAGTGAAATCATGTCTCGAGTCTTGGGCTGTTCGATCGCAGTCTACTGGCTGTGCCGGTCCCACAGTTTGAGGCATTAAGTAATAAGACTTTTAATACATAATGCTATTACTCTTCTATTAAACTAAAGGCTTATGTAAGACAATAGGTTTTTCATAGCAAAAGTGTAATGCAAACTGTTTAGCAACGGTTTTCTGTGCTTTTGAACTTAAAAGCAAATTAATTATATAGACCAAAAAGAAAAACTACAACATCGCAAATATTTTAGTTGTTTTGACTATGCAACAAGAATAGAAAAGCTAACAAGGTTCAGTCATTTATGCAAAGCTACACTAGAGCTTTCTGTGCTAGCTATCCCTAATTTTGAAATGATGGGCTAGAGGGAAGGCAGCTAGTCTATATCTCCCATTCTTGGGCTACAATTACAATCGAACAATGGGATCTGACCCTCACTCTTATAACGCACTCATGGCCCCAAAGTGTGGCGCACATTTTTTTAAAGAAAAAAGACGCGAACCATGGACACTTAGATGATATCACAGTTGAACCTGAAGAAAAG